AATCATTGAGATGCATCATCACAGTGACCAAAAACAAGAAAAATTCCTTACCCTAAGAGGAACTTTTCTTATTCAGGGCTTCTATTTCCTATTTTTCTGGTACTGCAGGACCCAGAGAGGAGGAAGGGGAGCAGCAGTGTTTTGATGGGGAGCAAACCCTGGCTAAGCCCAGCATGTGTTGTTAGAGGCTATGGTTTACATTAGAAAAGACTCTAATACTGTGCTATGGCTTCCAAGTGCATTTTGATGGTGATGATTATTTTCAGCTGCTCAAATGGTGTGAAATACAGGCAGGGAATTGAAAAAAAGACCATTTGGCTTTTGAAAAAAATTCAGAGCCCCTGTCAGAGGGACAGCTGATGCTCTCCTCTCTGCTCCATAACGTGCTACCCTGGTGGCTCTGGCATCCTGTGCCACGGCTGCTGCTGCGCCGCTCCTCGTCCTTTCAGCAATGATTGCATAACCAGGAACTGATGCAGATTTGCTGTTTTCTCCTCCTCTGGCTCCAGCTCCCAGAGAGTGAATTATGGCGTGTTCAAAAACCTCTGAGTTCCCCCAGCCCAAACCCTACCCCTGTAATCTGGTGGCGGTCTCACCGCAGCGGTTGTCACTAGAAAATTGGTTTCTATCCACAGGGTCCATGTGGCCAGAGGCAGAGAGGTGCTGGGCTCTGTGTGGGAAAAATGAGATCCTAGAGTGGGCAAAAGAATATGGAGGGCTGGTGGGGAGGAGGCAGGTCCTGGCACTGCCTGGCAGAAATGCTGCTTGCCTGAAATGCACCAGGGAGGGGAGATGGTCCTTGGGGCTATCCCTGGAGGATGAGGCACTGGGGAGCAAAGAGTGCACGTGGCAGGGAGAAGTCCAGGACAGAGCCATTCACCAGTTTGAGGTCATGATGTCCAGAACTACCTGGAGGCTCCCAAAGTCAATGGAGAGGTGCTCACCTCCAGCCCCATCCTCTCCTGGGCTTGGGACTGGCAGTGCCTCCAGCCTCTTTCCTTCATCACAAATTACCTGGCCAACCCCTTCTGTCAGCCTTTTTCCCCACTTCTAGACAAAACAACCTTTCCCCATTCCTGGGGCTGCTCCCTTCTTCTCCAGACTTGCCTAGGCTCTTTCATCATGCCAATAAAAGAGTAAATGCATCACACGTTGGCCAGGGAGAGTGGAAACCCTTAAACATCTAAGAGGCGAGAGCGACAAGAGGTGTTTTTTCGAGGCTCCCTCATGCCCTGTTAGGTCAAATGTCTTGCTCTGAAGCAAGAGAGAGGGGACTTATTAAAAACCTTTCATTTTTCTGATTTTTAAGGTCCTGTTTCAGCAGGCCGGAGGCTGAGGCGTGAGTGGGGCTGTCGAAGGGGAAGGGCAGTGAGCTGACGGCGTGCAAACAGATTGTGCAATATTTGCCTTGCACAGAGCTCCCATTGTAAAGCCTGGGAGTTCTGCTTCCAATAAATCCCCTGCCATAATGCCCCATTGATGGCAAGAGAAAGGCAGTATTGAGGACTGAAACAGCTACGGCCCCGGGAAGGGTTAAAAAATAAAGAAAAGGGGGAGAAAAAAGTAAAAAAAAAAGAGAAAGATTTGAGGCTTAGTTTTAAACTTTGCTGTGTGGCCCTCGTGGCAGATCTCAGGCACAGAGAAATATGTGGAGCCTGTTTGCATAACCCCATTTGCAGCGAGCACTTTCGGAGCCAAAACGCAAGTGCGGCCGGAGCCGAGGGGTGGTGGGGAGAAAAAAGCAGGAAGGGCTGTGTTTATTTTCATTCTTGCCCCAGGCCACATAAAATTAATAATTAAAAAAAAAAAAAGAAAAAGAAAAAGTAATAATTCAATATTTGGTCAGAGAACCAGCTGTGCAAATGGGAGGAGCTGTGCCAGCTGCAAGGACATGGAAGGACTTGGTCCAGGCACTGGTCAGGGTTTGATGCCTCGCAGATCGTGCTCCTGGGCGTAAAAGCACCAAAAAGGAGCATTTTGGGCTTTGGCTGGTGACTTTACCCTGGCTGATGAGTGATTCCTCAGCATGGGGAGCTTGGTTCCATCTGGGCAGGGTCTGCAGGCACCTGGAAGGGCTGGGCCAGGGTGTGGGTGGGTGATGCTCTGCCCACAGATCTGCTGCCAGCCCCACATCCAGCACCCAGCTCACCTGATCAGCCTCCCCATCACCCTGAGCTGGTAACGCCACTGCAGACCAGGCTGGGAGGGAGATTCAGTGTCTTTTGTCACAGCAGCTGCAGTGACAGGGAAGAGCAGGGCTGTCCTTGCCAGGGCAGATGCAGGACCAAAGCCGGCAGGGTCTGCTGGCTGGCTCAGCATTCATCGCTGGGCTGGCTGCCAGGGGAAATCTCCCCATTGTGCAACATGCTGGAGCTCTCCAAGGAAGCTCCTGGCTCTTGAGACATCTTTGAGTGAGGCTGGACAAGTCACTGCCTTGAATTAAGAGCGGCTGAGGGGTTGCCTGCAGGCCCTGAGTACTTTTTCCATCCTTAGACCTTGTGATGCATTAATCACTCTCAGAGCAGCTGTGCAGACAGCTTAAATCGTCCTGACCCCAAAGCTCCAGACTTGTCATTTCTTCCTCCTCCTCCCTGCTAGCTGCTTCCTGCTCCTGCCATGATATCAGTGGGGCTGGGTGGAGGGCCCCATTGCACCCCATTTCCTGGGATCTAGAGTGTTTTCACTGTACCCCTTGCTGCTTTTCACCCTTTTATCCTTTCTTGGAGGAGCACCCAGAAGGTGTCCATGTGCTGCTGAGACTCAGCCAGCTGTCCCTGAACCTTCTGAGCAGGGTCACTGCCAACAAATTCACTATTTATTCACCCTTTGGCTCTTGGAAAAGCTCCCTCAGCTGAGTTAACCCTGCTGTTTCTTCCCCAGACCCGGGGCCAGCGTGGACCCATCACTGATTTAGCTGAGCTGGCTGCCCTGGCTGGCACAGAAAGTCCCCTCTCCGTGTCAGCATGTGCCCACATCCTTGCTGCCATCTCCTTCCCTCCTTTCAACCCTCTGAGCTTTGGCCACCGACAGCAGCTTAAACCCAGGATGACTCTGCCAGTCTGTGCCTCCTCATCCTGAGGGTGTGAGCTGGATGTGACCCCACCACACGGCTGTGGAGCAGCAAATCCACACACCCTGGAGGTGCTTGTCTCTGCTCTTGCTCCTCAGAGCAAGATACAGCCCTGCTCCTCGTAGGTGGGCTCCAAACCACTCCTGTGGCCACACATCCCTTCTGCTGCCCCTTCCTGCACCTCCCTCCTCTCATCCTCTGGCCCCAAGCAAGACATAGTTTATCACTGATCTGTGTTGCCTTGAACACAGTTTCTCTGCCATGTCTCAGGCCTGACATCTTCAATTTCCTCTCTCATCTGTAATACTCACCCAAGTGGACCATTATTTATTATTTGGAAAGAGCTCTGATTGCAACCCCTGGTGATAACTCTGTCTCTGTTTCGGGGTGTGTACGGAGCCATGTGTACAGGAGTACACAGGACCCAGGAGACAGGGATCCCCCGCCTCTGTTTCCCTTCAGTCAAGTCCAGGTTTTTCCAAGAAGAGGATATTGTTCAAAACTAAAGGCTTTGTGGAAGAAAAGGGAGGCAAGTGGTGGGAAGGAGAGAGGGAAAGGGAGAGGAGGAGCGGGCGGAAGGAATGAGAGATGAACCCCTGGGGATTAATCAAACCTCACTGATGGGCTTAGCCCAGCCCTTCCGAGCTGTGGAGTGAGCAGGGACTCTGCGTGCAGGGAAAAGCACAGAACACAGTTATCCATCCCTGCCTCCTGCTCCTGTCCCCTGCACCCCTCCCTGTGCTCCTGCAAGCCCCTGAGCCCTGGCTGAAACTGGCTTGGTCCTGGTCCCTTGCCTCCATCCTCCCTGTGTCTAAGGCTAGGAGGGGGAAGCCCATCCTCCCTTTGCTGTTCTTGGGAGCCCCTGGGAGTGAGGAGCCTCCTGATCCCTCTTCCCCACCCCTCCATGGTGCCCGGGGTCCTAGGGAGCAGGCTGGCGTGGGGCAGGGGGGGACACTTGGGGACTGAAGGGTCAGTGGAAGGACAGGGGGTGTGGGAGGAGCCCGGGGAGGGGACCCAGAGGAGGGGATCTGGGAAGGGGACATGTAGGGGTCCTGGAGCCACCTGTCTCCTCTGCTCTTCTGAGCCAGTTCTGAAGGCAGAGCCCTCCCAGGCCCCCAGTGAGCCCCCACCACAGCCCTGCAGTTGTAAAGGCAGGTGGGGTGGCTGGGCTGTGGCTTTTGGGTGTGCTGGGACTCTTTGTGCGCCCATAATTTTGGGACTGCAAACAACCACAGGTCTCAGCTCCCAGCTCTGACAGGGGTGGGTGAATGTGAGTGGGTTTGTGCTGCCGAAATCCCCCTTTCTGGGCCATGTCCTTTGCTGGGAAGGTGGGGGGACCAGATGCATACCAGGCAGGAGGGTTTCCTGATGAGTGCTGGCCCTGCAGAAGGAATTGCATGGGGCCATTGCTCATCTCTACCAAAGCCCCCCAGAGCATCAGGGCACTGGCCCCTTGTCCCAGCACCTCAGGCTCGGGTCAGTACCCCTACACTGGCAGAATTCTCTGCTTCCCACCAAACCCTGCCCCTCTCTGACTGTGACAATGGCCCTTCGCTGCCTCAGTTTCCCCACTTGGAAAATAAGTGCAGCAGCACCCGCCGCTCTGTAGTGCTCTGCAATTCCCCGGGTGATTTTATTAACACTGAGGGTGTTCAAGCAGGTTTTTGCAGCTTTTCCATATTCAGGATTTATTTGGATGGTGATCCTGTCCGTGTGGGCAGCTGGCCCCAGCAATCCCTCCCGGGCTGGATGCTGCGGGGGCTTCAGCTGAGCATCCCACAAGGATCCTGATCCATGTAGCACACCCCTCGGTGCAGGCAGGGAGAGAAGCACCGGTGGCTCAGGGAATGCCCCGCTTAGGACCCTGCATGCTCTGGGGCTTCCCAGCTTTTTGCTGGAGCTACTGAGCTGGGAGGGGCCGGGCCGGCAGCTTCCCATAAACCTGGCGGCTTAGACCAACTCCTGGACAGATGTTGGGAGCCTGCCTTGGAGCGGAGGTTGGGAAAAGGAGAGGGCGGCTCTTGCCCGGAGAGTGAGGAGGAGAGCTCGGCACCCTGGGCTGGAACTTTAGCACCCTCGGCTGGAACTTTAGCACCCTGGGCTGGAACTTTAGCACCCTGGGCTGGAACTTTAGCACCCTCTTCCGCAGGAGTTTAAGGGCGAGGATCGCCGTGCCCCGAGCGGGCCGTCTGGAGAGCCGGGCGGGCGCAGGGCTGGAGCGGACGAGAAGCCAGCAACTTTCTCTGACGAGGATTCTGTGGAGCTCTCCATAAAGAAATAACAGCGGGGAGAAAAGCCCGGGAAGCCGGGAAGCGTTTGCAGCTGTCGGGACGCTGGTGAGCGGCTCCGGGCCGCCGCCGGTCCCTGCGAGGAGCCCGTCCTGCCCTGCAGATGTTTGGGATTGCAGCAGCTCGGGGGTTATTTGCCTTGGACTGAAGGCGATCCCAGCCCCGGCGGATTAAGCTCTTTGTGTACACGCGAGTGTGCCTTGATGGAAGCTGCTCCCGCAAAACCCGCTGCGGGGAGCATCCCCTAGGTCAGGGAGCCCTTCTAGAGGAGGGGGAGAGGGGGAAACCTCCTGTTTTCGTGGCTCTGAGACGATGCTGGGGCAGTAACTCCCTCGGCAGGCAGCACGGTGCTTCGGGATGGCCGTCTATGCCCTCACGGGTTTCTCGCTCGTCAGCCTGCTCAGCTTTGGCTATTTATCTTGGGACTGGATGAAACCCAGTTTGGTGGCCGATGTGGCCACAGACCCCATGGAGAAACCACTGCCTCCCACCTTCACCAGGCCACCCCACATCATCTTCATTCTGACCGATGACCAGGGCTACCACGACATCGGCTATCACGGCTCCGATATCCAGACGCCGACGCTGGACAGGCTGGCAGCGGAGGGTGTGAAGCTGGAGAACTACTACATCCAGCCCATCTGCACCCCGTCCCGGAGCCAGCTGATAACTGGCAGGTAAGCCTGCTTACAACCTACTCATGTCCCTTTTTGGTCCTTTCTGTAGGTCTGAGGGGCTTAACCCCAGATTGCTGACAGACCGATGCCCTGGTGTATTGGCAGAGGATGGAGATCCTCCAGTGGATCTGGATTTCTCTAGAAAGCTTCCTGGGTGAACAGTTGATTTCCACACAGGGTAAATGGTGGCACATGGCAACAGCAAAAATGTGCATGCTGCTGGGTAATGGATGTCACTCTGGGAGAGGCTGGTCTCTAGTCAGGAGGTGTTTGGTGCTGGGCAAGCTGCTGTGTCCCCAGGTAGTCCCTGATTCACTGGCCTGTGGAGATTTGCTGTGAGGCCCTTGGTCTGTGCTTTCCCTGTATGCATGTTCAGCGCTGCACTGGCCAGCACAAGGCTGGATGTTGCTCCATTGCCCTTTCCCACAGCAGCACAGTCAGATGTCCCCTTGTCCTGGGCCATTCTACCTTCTAGGATAGGTGGGGTTTCTCTGGAGTGGTGCTGTGTGGTCAGCACTCACTGGCAGGAGTAGGTAGGAGGCAGATCCTACCAGTCCACCTCCTGGTGAGGAGTGAGCCCCAGGGAGGTGCCTGTGGATGTGGTCACCTACTGCCTGGGGTGGTGGAGCCCACCAGGGTTCAAAGTCCTCCCTTCCCTCCTGATGGTTCTTGAGGAGTCCCAGACATGTTTGTGGTGTGCAAAGCAGGGGAGGACAGGGATGGTGGGGGACATTCAGGTGGGGTATTATGAACCCACTTGCTTGTGCTGCCCAGCCCTGACACAGCCCAGCCACCTCCCCAGGCTGGCAGCAGTGGGGACAAATGCTGGTGGCATTTTTGTGAGATATCTGCTGAGCCTCACCCTGTGTTCTTTGCATCTGCTTTTAGTAGTTAAGGATGGATGAGGAGCTCCCTGTCCCTGGCTGGAGCTTGCTTCAGTGGGTTGGGTTGGGTGACATGGAGATCTGTATTTTGTTTTGTTTTGGGTCTCTAACACATAAAGACCCATCATGTCCTCACCCAGTGCTGCTCCTCATCACCAATGCTTTCCTCTGGCTCTTCTTCCTGGCAGGTACCAGATCCACACAGGACTGCAGCACTCCATCATCCGCCCTCGGCAGCCCAACTGCCTGCCCCTCGACCAGGTCACCCTGCCACAGAAGCTGCAGGAAGCCGGCTACTCCACACACATGGTGGGCAAGTGGCACCTTGGCTTCTACAAGAAGGAGTGCCTGCCCACTCGCCGGGGCTTCAACACCTTCCTGGGCTCCCTGACAGGCAACGTGGATTACTACACCTATGACAACTGCGACGGGCCGGGCGTCTGCGGCTACGACCTGCACGAAGGGGAGGACGTGGCTTGGGACCAGAGCGGGAAGTATTCCACCTTCCTCTACGCCCAGCGTGTCAGCAAGATCCTGGCATCCCACAGCCCCAAGGAGCCCATCTTCATCTACGTGGCCTTCCAGGCAGTGCACACGCCCCTGCAGTCCCCCAAGGAATACATCTACCGCTACCGTTCCATGGGCAACGTCGCCCGCCGCAAGTACGCGGCCATGGTGACCTGCATGGACGAGGCGGTGAAGAACATCACCTGGGCCCTCAAGAAGTATGGTTATTATGATAACAGTGTGATCGTGTTCTCCACAGACAATGGTGGGCAGACCTTCTCTGGGGGAAGTAACTGGCCACTACGGGGTCGCAAAGGGACCTACTGGGAAGGGGGAGTGCGTGGCATTGGTTTTGTCCACAGTCCCTTGATCAAGCGCAAGCGTCGGACAAGCTGGGCACTGGTTCATATTACAGACTGGTACCCAACTCTGGTCAGCCTGGCCAGGGGCAACCTGAGCAATGTCCAAGGCTTGGATGGCTATGATGTCTGGCCTGCTATCAGTGAGGGCAAGGAGTCGCCTCGCACCGAAATCCTGCACAACATCGACCCCTTGTACAACCATGCCAAGTACGGCTCCTTGGAGGACGGCTTCGGTATCTGGAACACAGCTGTGCAAGCTTCCATCCGGGTGGGGGAGTGGAAGCTCCTCACTGGTGACCCCGGGTACAGCGACTGGATACCCCCACAGACCCTGACCAACTTTCCAGGGAGCTGGTGGAACCTGGAGCGTCTCACCGATGGCCTGAGGAAGTCTGTGTGGCTCTTCAACATCACTGCTGACCCCTACGAGCGCTACGACCTCTCAGATCAGCGCCCGGATGTGGTCAGGACCCTCCTGATGAGGTTGGTGCACTACAACCGGACGGCCATCCCGGTGCGGTACCCTGCGGAGAACCCCCGGGCTCACCCAGACTTCAATGGCGGTGCCTGGGGACCTTGGGCCAGTGAGGATGATGGGGAGGAGTGGGAAGGCGGCCGGGAGCCCCTGAAAAGCAGGAACAAGAAGAAGAAGAAGTGCAAGATCTGCAAGCTGCGCTCCTTCTTCCGCAAGCTGAACACCAGGCTCATGTCCAACCGCATCTGACAGGACACTCCCCCAGCATCCACCCATCCTGGCCAGGGTGGAGCTCTGGACTGCAGTGCCATGGGGTGGGAGCCAGGGAGAAGGAGGGGAGGTGGCCAGTGCTCTCTTGCTCTCTCTTGCTCCAGGGTTCACTCCAAAACACTCCTCCCTGGCTGGAGTGGTGGCCACAGGGAGTTGCTCCCAGTGGGTGAGGAAGGGAGATGTGGTCTCTGCTGCAGTGCTTGGTGGTGGTGAATGGCAGTGCTGAGCTGGGCTGGCCCTGCACAGTTGCTTCCAAAGAGAGAGACCTTTTCTTCAAGGATTTTGCAACCAATCATAAGCTTTAAGTGTTGGCCATCACAAGGGCAGGAGGAAACTTGGGGGGCTCTGCCTTCATGTTAATCCTTACCATTTCCCTCTATTTACTCTTGGCTCTCAGCCTGCTGCCAAGCAGCTGCAACCTTTGTTCTTCCTCTGGGAACTCGGGAGTCTCCCCTTGAGGGGTGGATTCCTGACCATGGATGTCAGACCTGAGATCAACATGGCTGGACTAAGTCATGCTGCTACAATGACCTCATGTGGGGCTATGGCTTCCTCTCTCCACTGGTTTGGGTGGCCGGGAACAGCCCTGATGAGGATCTGTGGCCCATGGAGGCATGGTTGGATGTTCTCAGAGGACAGGTGCCTCTCTTCAACCCCACATTTGGGAGGCAGGTTTTCCCCCAGGTTCTGGTGGCGGACTCCACGTGGGTCAGCCACCCAGCAGAGCATTTCACCCAAAATTTGCCTGGCCAGCCCCTTCATGTGCAAGCCTCTAGGCACCCCCATTCCTCCCTATGAATCCTACACATCCAACCAGCCAACCACCCCTGTCTGCCCCACCCCGGTGCTGGAGCTGTCCCTGTCCCCACATCCCATTGCTGAACCTGGGGCAGAGGGAAGATCTCAAGAAGGTCTCTGCAGAAGCTGATCTGCTGTTTTGTAGCTGCGGGACTTTGAAGCCGCGGTGGAGAACGGGGATGATGGGGACGTCTCCCGCCTGCCAGCACCGCGCCGCATCCGCAGATGGGCACTGCTCTTCCAGCAGCGCACGCGTGGGGAGGAAACCACCTCCCCATCATCCGCTGCTGTGGGGAGCCAGCCCATCCGATCGCCAGGGGCCAGGGAAGCCAGCAAAGCTCTGGGCCCCCGCGCCTTCGGCAGGGTGTGAGCGCGCATACGTGCGCTCGCAGGAGAGCTGGCAAGGATGAAAGGGGGTAAATAGCTTTAAAATCGTTTTGGATGCACGGTGCATTTCCATTTACACAATGTGTTTTACATTTCTCCCCACAGGTTTCTCTTGGTGCAGCGTGTGTAGGCGAAGGCCCTGCTGTGAATTTTGAAAATAGTTATTTTTGTCTCTGGAAAATGAGGCCCGTTAGGACTTGTCAGCTCTTGGATGAGCAGTGTGGGCTTTCTTTTTTTTTTTTTTTCTTTTCCCCCCCTCTCTTTCTCCCTTGCAAAATAACATTCATTTAAAATCTGTCATTGAAAGATGTGACAATTGGCAGCGCGCACACTGAATACCTTTCAGTGCGCTTTCAAGCCCTGTGTGTGAGAGAGGGATGAGGATGGGAAGAAAATGCAATGACATGTTTGTATTTTTTTTTTTTTCTTACTCTTAGCTGGATTATTTGGGGGTATTGGGATTTTCTATAGAAACAAAGGAAAAAAACCCAGCTGACAGCTAGGCAGAAGAGAGGAGGCCTCTTCTTGTAGAGCTGGGAAGGAGTTTGAAAAGCTGGAGTGTGGCGGTGTGTGCGCCAGTCCCCGCTGCTCTGTGCACGCCCATCACCGTGCCATCCCACCCCGCTGGCTCCCTGCATCCCTGCAGCCACATCCCAAGGACAGGTTTTGGAGGGGACTCAGCTCCTCCATCAGCCCCATCTCCATCCCTGCTTCCATAGCATGCTACTCCAAGAGAACTGGTCCCCATGGCACCACCTGGGCGCAGGTGAACCCCAAGAGGATTCTCCACATCCTCAAACTACCTCAAATCAGCCAGCCTGGTCCCTGGGGATGTGCACCACCAGCAGTGCTGTGGCACCCGCTGCCATTTGGCAAAGCCAACCAGTTGCTGAAAATAAAGCAACATTTTGCTGAAGAAGAGGAGGCTGCTGCAGGCAGAGCCAAAGCCAGGGGAGAGCAGGGGGTGATGCTGCAGGGGCTGGGGAATAAATATTGGCTAAGGGAGAGTTGGTGCTGAAGGGAATGGGAGAGCAGGGCTGGACGTGGGGTGATGACAAGGCTCGGGAAATGGCTTTCATTTCCATATTTATATAAATACATCCAAGTTTAGTCCTTCTTTTATTTTTTTTTCCTTCAAAAATGGAAATTTCCATGAAAACATGCTCGATTTTTCTTCCTTCTCTTTTACTAACATCCCCATGAAAATGTTCGTCTGGTCTCACTTCCTCTTTCCAGGTTTGGATCTGCTGGGCTGATGCTGGGTTTGCAGTCAGCCTGGCCACAGTGGTGGATCTGCTGTCATCTGTATTTTAATTAAAAAGAGTTGGATTTTGAATCTTTGCAAGAATAAACAACTGAAGGAAAATCTTAGTCCCTGAAAACAAAGAGGAGAAGTAGGCAGGAGCATCTCTGGGTGCTTGGAGGGAGCAAAGCCTCCAGCCCAAGGACAGCAGTTGTCCTTCACCACTGATTCCAGCTGTGCTGTGTCTGAACATTGGACTGGGAAAGGAGATGCAGCTGCTGCCACGTGTTCTCCTCATCACAGCAGTGTTCATTAATGGTCTGTGCTGGGAAAAACGCAGCTATGTGCCAAAATCCCATGTTTTCAGAGAGCTGAAGTCCCTCGGGATGGTGTGTGAGCTCTGGCTGCCAAGGTGTTAATGCAGCTGGAGAGATGCTCAGGCGGTGGAGTTCCCTGCACCCGGGAGATGTGTTTTCACAGACAGGCTGAGCCTCCCCTCCTTCCCAACCTCCCTTCAAAGCACCTGGCAAGCCCCAGGCAGCTCCAAAGCCCGGCAGGAGCTGGGCGTAGGATGGGGCCTGGGAGGGATGGGGCAGGGGGATGCGTCCGGGGCCATCAGGGATGGAGGGGTGGGGGCTGCCTCTCTGTCGGCATGGACTGCCTGTCTCCACCCTGGCTGTTTCCATCCTGCTGGCTGGAGAGAGTGGGAAGGGGATGGGCTGGGAATGAATGGAGTTGGGATGGGATAGAGACGGGGAGGAGGATAAGAGGAGGGTGGGGCTGGGGCTGGGCCGGGCTGGGCTGGGAAGAGGAGGGGAGTGGGATAGGACGGGGATGGAATAGGGATGGGATACGTCAGAACCTCTCCAGCCCCACAGGCAACTCCCACCCGAGAGAGGGAAGAAGCCCAGTATCCGGACACGGGATGGGCATCCCAGCGAACTGCCCCGCAGGGAGAGTGCAGAGCACCCTGAGCACCTCAGAAGGTGTTCTGCATCAGGTTCTGCAGCAGGGGCGCTTGGGCCCTGTCTCATGCCAGCGATCTGAGGATGTGTTGTTTTGCAGCTTCCCCCCACTCAGACCCAGCACACGACGGTTCCAGGGAGCCACATGGCACCTGCTGAGTGTCCCCAAGTATCATGGACATGTCCACAGGAGGCTCTTTGCCTGTGAACCCTGCTGCTGGGAGAGGGTGGCACTGAGGACGCCCTGTCTCAGCCAAAAGCAGCTTCCTGTGGTTGCAGGAGCAAGTGCTGGGCCCGCAGGGACAGGGCACGTTTGCAAACACAGCCCTAAATGTAAATCAGCTCTCCTCACCACCGTATTTATAATCTTATCTAAAAATAACCCCAAATTCAGCTTCCCAGAGGACAGCAACTGAGCATCCCCCAGACCCCAGCTTGCATGTGAAACTGTCCCAGTAATTTTGGGATCTCTGCAATATGTAATTGACAGCCTGGCTGGTTTGGTGTGTGAGGCACTGCTGCAAGCCCCATCTCCTGGGATCAGGGCCACCTGCTGCTGCTCCCCCAGGACACGTGGTGGCCCCAGATCCTTCCTGAGCTGCCCATCCAGCGTGTTTGGGGTTCTGTATCTGACCTCTGGTGCCCACTCTGCAGCAGCCCCGTGCTGGGACACAGAAACCAAAGCTCTGCAGGCAGAGCTGGAGCAGGGTGTGGAGAGCAGGAGGCATTTTTGGAGAGGCAGCCTAGTGATGGAGAGGAGCACTGGGGATGAAGGTCTCCATCAGGTGGCCAGACCCGAGCACGGCAGCAGGAGAGCATCATGGCTCCCAAAGCCCCTCAGGAGAAAATATTGGGATGGCTGGGAACAGACACATCCTAAGAATATCCTGAGGCCTCTGGGAGAGGACTGGGACTATTCCCCTCTACAGGGGAGCCTCCAGCCCAGAAGTGGAAGGTTCCACCCAGAGCTCCTGCTCCCCTCGGATTGTCCCCAGGCACCCAGGATTGGGACCATGCAGCAGTTCCTGCTTGGGAAAACATTATCAGCAGAGCAGAGCATGTTCAGCATGCAGAAGTCTGACACCCCCTTACCCTCAGAAGGAAAAATGTCGAGGAAAAGAGAAAAAAAAAATCAGAATAGAGAGAAGAGCGGAGAGGGAGAAACTTTTCCTGGAGAGCTGTGTCTCTGGCAGGCAGGAGAATCCTGGGGAGGGAGGCAGGGTCCTCGTGGGGGGCTTTGCCATCAGCCCCTGCCCAGGTGAGGGGTTTGGGGTGTCAGGGTGCAGCAGGGGCCCCGGAGGAAGGGAGGGACAGAGCCCTCCTCCTGGCCCCAGGAGCACGCAGAGTCACGCGTGTGGGGTTGAGCACGTGTGGCAGCGTGGGGGTGGGCACGGGGAGGGGGCAGGTCACATTGCGGAGCTCACGGGGACACACGAACATCAGCGCAGGTGGGAGGGAGGTGGGAGGGAGGCAGGGGCACAGAGCCACCCACAGGCATCCATGGGGTCTTGGGAGTGGGGGGCTCTTGCTCTTGCCTCCCTAGGGTTCCAAGGGGCTGCTGGGGGCTGGCAGCAAAACGCTGAAGGAGGAGAGCGCTCCCACAAACATCCGGCAGCACCGGCCCCCACGGCAGCCCCCCACCTCCTGGCACAGCCCTGGGGTGGGGAATGAAACCCTCTTTTTTATGGG